AAGATGGCCAGAAATGGCTAAGAAGTATAAAGAACACTCCGTAGCTCACGCTAGTTGTTTAATTTAAGATCTCTGATCTGAAGGTTTTTTTATTATCAGAATAGTTTATGAAAAGGGAAACTGAAATGATTTGGAAGGAACAATCAGTAGTAAAAGCAATTTACATCCTTATTTCCAGTTTTCTTTTTCACACTCGTTCCTCAACTTAAAAGAGAAGCATACGCATAACTGCGATGTATTGTTGAGTCAAATTCGTCATGCCTTAACACAATACTCAAGTATCGCGCATACAGATTTAAAATCAATAATCTTTCGGTTCTTCCACCATCAGAATAGTTTATGAAAAGGGATATTGAAGTGATTTGGAAGGAAAAATCTGTAGTAAAAGCAAATTACTTCCTTCTTTGCAGTTTTATAATTCACATTCGTTCCTCGACTTTAAAAAGTAGCGTACGCATCATCTCGATGTATTGTTGAGTTAAACTCGTCATGCCTTAACACGATACGCAGGTCACTCGTACTTATGAAATGTTTTCGAGCGTAAAATCTCAAGGATCAATTGACACCCTAGGAAGTATCAAGTCCCAGGAAAAAAGAAAAGGGTATTTTTTCTTATTTCTAGTTTAGTTATATGAATTTCCAAAAACTCCTAGCGATAAGAGAATTTACATGTGGGGTATCCAGTTGCATTTCCCATTAAAAAAAAAAAAATTGAGAATTTTATACTTTAATTTCTTAGTTTTAAAGTTTTTATTTACAAGAAAATATATATTAAAGTGCAATGTTTATCCACTGTATTACTTTTTTAATATTCTGGATGAAGTGAACTAAATAAAATAGTAAACATTTGTAGAAAACACCAACATGTGATTATCAGCGCCGGAGGGGCGTTTTAGAGACAGTTACCTGATCTGTTCTTGTTACTAGTTGTTATTACTTGTTTGAAGTTATTGAAAAAGGGACTCACAAATAGCGTAAATTTTACAAATATAATCACAAGAACGTCTCAAAATAAATCTCTCGGTGCAATAATTGGTTTTTGCTTCATTTAACTTGACAAGGAAAATCAAAAGAAAAACAATGTACGAGATCCGTTTCCGGCGACAAAAAGTCCTGGGATTGCAGCCGGCTGTTATCAAGCAAAGTCGTAATTCAATGTTCTTCTGTGTTGGAAAATAGAACATCTTTAAGAAAAGTACAAACAAAGAATAAACAAAAAAAGAGAAAGCCTTAAAAAGGTGGAATTCCCCCGGCGCCAAAAAGACTGAGTGCTTTGTTCAAACAACCGGAACATTACATCTTTTCCTATTCAAAATGGTTTTTTTTCTTTTTTTAGAGCCTGGATCTTAAAAATTGGAAATAATACATTAGACAATGGCAAATTAGTTATTTTCAGCTCTCTAAACCATTTTCATGTTCAAACCTTTTACCAAATTAACAAGTTTGTCGGATTTTCCAGGGCAACGGAAGAGCAAGATAAGAAGGGCAGTCAGAAGTGCTAATTAAAGGGCTCCATTTTCTAATTTAAGCTTTTTCTCAAAAATAAACTAAGTTTAATAAGTATATTAAATATTGGAAACACTCGTCTTGAAACAAACTGTGGTCGAGAAACATATAGTATTAGTCGCTTTCAATTAGCTTGTCCAAACATCGTTTCTAAGTTTCAAAATTAACCCAAAGATAATACAACTTAACGAGCGGGTTTTTGAAAAGCTTGCTTTTTAATGAGGCTTCTGGCAACATTCACATCAAATTACACCCGACGCGTCCAGAGAATACGCTGGTTGAAGACCTGGCCTATAATGGCGACAAATGACACAGGCATTACAGTTTACCACCGGTAATTACCGGCAGTCAAATAAACAAAGCGTTCGTACTATTAAAAATATTAAAATGGCCAGCAAGAGGGATAGAGTAATTATATCCACTTAGCCATTAGTGTTAAGAGGCCATCTTAAAATCGTAATTCGGAGACGATTTTTCTTCTATAGCCGAAGAAACAAAAAGAATACTTTGTGTTCTCTTTTGGGTACATTTTAATTAAAACTCTTTCAATTTCAAACAAAATTGTTAACAAAGCGCCACGTGCAAAGGACGTAACAAAATCAATCCTTTTCTATGAAAGATTTCACTTATTCGCTTTCAAAAAACTATAATAATAGAAGTATCAGTCGATAATTTCTTTTAAATCAATGCCCTCGATGGACCCTGTTCGAAAACGACATCTTCGTATTAGAGCGTTGTCTATCATACGTTTCGTTTGTTGTGCCCCAATCAATTTTATAACAATGGTAAATTTGAAACCCGTAGAGGAGTACGAAATCAGTAAAACGCCTTATTTACAAGAAAAGTTAAGCGGATTCATGATGAAAGGACTACATTAGGATAACTAAACCATTTGTATGCTCATTTCATTTGTATGCCCAACTTACCAGGTGAAATTTAACAGTTTAATTTCTTGAACGCAAAAAGAAAATGGAAACTTTTTCGCAGGCATTTGCCTTGCGTTGTGCATCAAAATGCAAATAATATAGCGTTCCCAATTTCGGGTAATGGAACAACACACCTCACACAATTGCCAGATTTATACGGAATTGAAGGTCATTTTGAGCGGAGACAAGATGTCTGAAAATGCCCAATTTCTTTCGTAATAATCTCTTTCATCGCCTCTACCCGTGGGGGATAAGTTGACAGGGAAACGAGATGTCTGTAAACCCCCCTGAGCGATACGGAAAAGTGCCAAAATGGTCATAAATAAAGAGTAGGAACTTCGTATTCACTTACACCAAGAGCTCAAGTAATGGGCTCCTGCTTACACCTTTTGTGCAAACTTCAAACCGCTCTCTGAGTCAACATCATTGGCCTAAAATGTCCTCCTGATATTGAAATGTTCTTTACTTTAATGAAATGATTGATGAGTGTCAAGAAATTGAATGAAATAAAATTAAAAATTAGACACTGAAACATCGCGTAGACCATTCGAAGATTTTGGATAAACAATTGCCCAACGCTATTGTTAGGGTTGCCATTGAAACTTTGCCTAAGTTTGTAAACTTTACAGTAAGTAATAACGAGAGAAAATGATGGTCTCCTAATTTTCTCTTGGTTGTACAGTTTTCAAAATAGTTCGCGTTAGGTACTTCGAAATTGTAGCAACACGAGTTACACGGTCCTAACGCATCGGAACAGAAGAAAGTCGATTATCGTTCCATTTACAATAACAACAAGGATATTTCAACCTTACCAAAATATTACCAGGCTGTCCAGGGAACAGATTAGCTACCTTAGAGTCAGAAACAATCATTAAGTTTTGCTTTGAAGTAACGGCTTTATTCATGAGTTTCTTGTTATTACCACTGCTCTCTGATATTTTCAACAACCCTTCAAGGCCTTCTTTATCAAAACCTGCCAATGGAAATGTCAACATATCATAAAATGCCACGAGCCGAAAGATATTCTGTTCACAGATGAATAAAATAGACAGTGTAACTTTAAGCCTTGGAGAAGACGTCTCCCAGTTCCCCACATCTTTTTTAAGGAATGCAACGCTTATTCAGTCAGAATATCTATTTACATTTGAAAACACATTTATATGAAACTTTTACATCATTTCAATTTTGATGCATTTTTTTTGAAAAATCACATACAATCATTTTTAATCAAAACAAGCAATCAGTCCCCAGGAAGTGTACCAGCTTAGATCATTTCGGAAAATTCAGCATGATTCCACGTTGTTTTTATAACATGGTTTAATAATTATAGACCTAGTTTAAGTCTCGAAAAGCTTTGATTATTTGAAAGATAAAGATTAGCACAATGAAGACTGCATTCTCAAATTAAGACTAACTCAACGTCAAATTAACGTTGGTCTGAGTCGATGAATATTGGACTATGTAAGGAAAAGTACTCGGATGCTCAGATTTGTTCTTTATTATTGTTATCGTTATTATTAGTTTAAATGAAAATAAAACTGCCTGGGAGGTCAATTTAATGTACCTTCCTGGAATCGCACAAATGGTTCGTGTAAGACAAAGAAAAAAAGTATGCCTAAAAATCATCATTAAGATGTAAAGAAAAAAAAATCGATAGGATATTTAATTCAAACGAGGATAGCCGAACGGAAGAACATTACAAATAATAATTAGCTGATAAAGCAGAGGAAAGGCGCCTCCTTAAGGCGAAAAAAAAAAGAACTTTCAACTCATATTTTTCCATTTGACCTCCTGAAAAACAGCTTGAGTGTGTTTTAATCTTAAGGAGTCGATTGGGTCTTCAAAAACTCAGTCATTTTATTTATTTATCTACTTATTTTTTTGTGAGGGGAGGATGAGGGTGTTGCAGAGATTTAGCGGTGGATCACACTTATTTCTCTCTATGTAAAAAAAATTTCTACCTTGACACCAGACTGCATTACTGATAAAGTAAAAACTGCTACTTTTAAAAGATCCTGCAAAGCAACGTGTGAGTTAAAAATAAATATTCATGGTCAGAAGGGAGTTTTAGAAAAGAAGCTTGAACCTTTCCGCGCTTTTCGGGGTCCGCGGCAATGAGCGGGGGCTGATTGCTTAGACGTACTCCTCCTTAGGTTATTGCTTTGAGGGTTTCAATGGGGTTAACGGTTAGCCGTAAAATAGCTAAAAAGTTTAGTTGTTGGGCGCAAAAATTGACGGATTTTAACCGTTAGCCGTAAAAGGGTCAAGCGAAATTTTTTTAAACAACAATGGAAAGAAAGTAACTATTAGCCGTTAAATAGCCAGAATTTCAATCTGTAGCCCTAAAAGCCATTATCTCATTGACCCTCTTGCTTTAAACAAACAACTGATCAATATGTAAATAGTGATTTCTTTCCTTTCTGTCTTGATAATGTCCATACTCTTTCTTTAGATTTCCTTTGGTACTGAACTGACATGAATAATCTTTTTTTTTTAACAATAAGGAGCTTAGCTTCTTCGAGATGATGTTGATCAGTTTCTCGTTTACATGACCTTTATGTTTCATTCATGGCAGGAGCCCATTACCGGGCTCCTGTCATGGGTGATTCTGTTAGAACAAATTAGATAAAGTCGCTCATGGCGGTCAAGCCTTTACGCCCTAACATCAGAATGCATATTCTCCAGACTGTTCTTTATACATCTCCTAAGGTGCTGATAAGGAGAATTTGTTCAACAACAGGAGCCCATTACTCCTGTTCAACAATCAAGAGCCTGTTTAGTTGGTGAT